CAGCAAACCGGCGGAAGAATTGGGCCACCCTGCAATCGCCATCCGGGAGACGAGAGAGCTCACGAAAGAAGTTGGACGTCGCATGGAAGAGTCCGCAGGCGAACATAGTTTAACGCTGAGCTGGAAGACGGCGTCTGCGTCTGTCATGGCGGCCGTGGACACCCATGCGCAAGCCGAACAAACCCTGGATCTCAGAGCGCACGCTGGCACTCATCCCCCCAAGACGCCAGGCGCGAATTGCAGGCGATTGGGGCGCCGAGCTGCGACTGAGAATGTCCGTGAAGCAGTCGGCCAAGCAAGATCGCAGTACGTGGCTCGAGAATCTGACAGCTACTGGAAACTGGAGTTGCGTCAACAAGATATCGAAATGCAAGGGCCGGCCGCAAGGGCGACTTCGCAATCGAAACGGCGACCTGGTTGCGACAGACGAGCGTGCGGAGACATTCGCGGAGCACTTCGGCAATATCCAGTGGTACGTGCGCCCTACAATTCTGACGCCAGACGCAGACGATGCGATCTACCAATCGTTGAACGTGAATCTGGACCGCTTTACGGATGCAGAATTACGGCGTGCCTTACAGAAGTTACGCCCTGGAAGATCTTGCGACAGAGGGGACATTCCAGTAGAAGTCTAAAAATCTCTCGCTGCTGAGCCAGGGCACTTGCAGTGGTTGCTCGACATCTGCAATGCCGCGTGGGACCTTCCGGACGATATGGTGCGAGTCTCATGTGAGCTTACTCTACAAGAAGGGTGGCCCAGCAAATTGCGACAAGTACCGGCCCTTGTCGCTTCAATGCGTCGCCATGAAAGCATTCTCCGCCACGCTCAAGCAGAGGCTCCTGGACGCGGGCGTGGATGAGAGATTGTGGGCGTCCCAATTTGGTTTCCGACCTGGTCGCAGCACCGAGCACGCCATCTATGTTGCCCGGAGGCGCATAGAAACAGCAAGGGCGAAAAAAGGAGGGGCTGTCACCCTGGTGACGCTGGATTGGAAGAAGGCATTTGACAGCATACACATAGAGCGCCTGCTGGACGCATTGCGGCGGATTGGCGTTCCATCTGAGTTCCGGGAGATGGTCGGTGTGATGATGGAGAGAAGGATGTTCGTGGTGAGGGAATGCGACAACCAGTCCGCTCCCAGACCCCAGCATTCTCGGATCTCACAGGATTGCACCCTCAGCCCGCTGCTGTTTGCCCTGGTCATGACTGTGCTCTTGCACGATGTCGCCTCGAAGCTTACCGGCGGAGCAAAGGAGGCGCACGTCAAGGGCGACTTGTCCGAGTGCGTTTACGCAGACGACACGCTCTTAATCGGCTCCAATGAAGAGCACTTGAACGAGCTTCTGGGTGCCGTTGCCTCCGCGGGCAAGCGCTACGGAATGGAGTTGCATTGGGGCAAGTTTCAGGTGCTCGCAGTTCAGTCGAAGGGCGAGATATACGCCCCTGATGGTACTGCTCTCAACCATGTGCAGCACCTACAATACCTTGGAGCACATTTGTCGGCAGATGCAGACATGGGCCACGAATTGGGCAGACAAATCGGAGAGGCCAAAAGGAATTTCACAACGTTGCGAAAAGTCTGGTCGCATTCTTCCTTGACCTGGCCACGAAAGCTGCGAATTTACACATCGATTGTGGAGTCTAGTTATTATATGGGCTAGCAGGGTCGTGCCTGACAAAATCGCAGCTGCGGCGGTTGGACGGCTTCCAGAACAGGTGTGTCCGGCAGATCATAGGCGTCCGACCTTCATGGATTTCGCGCGTACGGAACACAGACGTGGTGAGCCGTGCAGACCACGCCCCAGCGAGCCGCAACTTCTACGCCGGCAGTTCCTGCTCTTCGGTCAAGTGCTACGCGCCGATCGAGGACACCCGCTGCGGACGTGCACGTTCGCTTCCGGCTCATTGACACCACAGACAGATGCTACAACGAGGAGGGTCGGTAGGCCATGCAAGAAGTTTGCCTGTGAGATGATGAAGCATTCTGCACGCATTTTTGGTAGCACGGCGGCAGCCGAGGCTGCAGTGCAAACTTACCAATACGATCGTACTATACGCGCCCTGTTTTAATTCCACGTGCACTCCTCCTCCTCCTCCTCCTCCTCCTCCTCCTCCTCCTCCTCCTCCTCCTCCTCCTCCTCCTCCTCCTCCTGGTCGTCCCAGTGTGACCCATTTGCGCGCCTTTCCCGTTTGTGGCGCCCTGGGCCCCCAGCGCACGAGTACAGCTTCTCACTGGTAGCCGACTGCAGTGGCCCGGCGTGCAGCCAAGGCCCTGGCTCTTCTTTAAGCCAGCATTCATGCCCACGCACCGCTTGGTGTATGGTTTGCCAGTCAGTCAGTCAGTCAGGCCGATGCGTGGCTACTGCCCCCCCGCGCGCGCTTCTTGTGCCGAGCCAGCTTGCTTCAGGGGGTGGTATACAAGCATTGCGCCCCGCGCGGGGGCCCTCTGTTTTCAACCATCGCTCCACGGTCATGTGCTGGACCAGCTTGTGTTGTGGGGGTGGTGTAAACAACTCGCCGTTTGGCGACGTGCCCAAAGCCAGCGTTTCGGAGGATTTCGAATGACCCCCGACGTCGTCGAGATTTCAAAAAGAGCCCGTTTTGTGGTTGCTTGGTCGGGGGGGGGGGTGAAACCGGACCCCCCCCCTTGGATGGAAGGGGGGGGGGTCAAACCCCCTCTCCCCCCCGCCTCCCCCCCCCCTGCCTCCTCTGCTTCCCCTCTCCTCGGGCTGTCGCTTGTGTCGGCGGCGGCTGGCGACGGCGGCGGGGACGACGATTTTCATGTGTGGCCCGGCGCCGGCGCCTGCGGCGGCGGGCGGCGGTGGCGGGGAGCGTCGACGAGGACGACGGTGGTGGTGGTGGTGGTGGTGGTGGTGGTGATGGTGGGTTGTGGTGGTGGTGGTGGTGGTGGCGGTGGTGGTGGTTGTGGTGGTGGTAGTGTGGTGGTTTGTTGTGGTGGTGGTTGTGGCGGTGGTGGTGGCGGTGGTCGTGGTGGTTTGGTGATGGTGTGGTGGTGGTTTGTGGTGGTGGTGGTGGGTTGTGGTGGTGGTGGTGGTGGTCTGGTGGTGGTGTGGTGGTGGTTTGTGGTGGTGGTGGTGGTGGGTTGTGGTGGTGGCGGTGGTTTGTGGAGTGGTGGTGGTGGTGGTTGTGGTGGCGGTGGTGGTGGTGGTTGTGGTGGTGGTGGTGGGTTGTGCTGCTGGTGTGGTGGTGTGGCGGTGGTGGTGGTGTTGTGATTGGCTGGTGGTGTGGTTGGTGGTGGTGGTGGTTGTGGTGGTGGTGGCGGTGGTGGTGGTGGTGGTGGTGGTGGTGGTGGTGGGTGTGGTGGTGGTGGTGGTGGTAAGTGTCGCTGCGTCCCCGCCGTCGCCGGCGCCAGCGCCGGCGCTGCTGGCCGCCGCCAGCGCCGGCGCCGGCGCGAGGGGGGGGGGGGGACCCCCCCCCTGGGCTGCCTCTGGTCATCGTCGCTGCGTCCCCGCCGTGGGCGCTGCTGGCGGCCGCCAGCGCCGGCGCCGCGCCGAGGGGTGTGGGGGAGGAGGGGTTGAAACCCCCTCCCCCATGGGAGGGGTGGGTGGGTGAACCACCCCCACCCTTGGGAGGGGGGGGGGGGTTCGGGACGGGGGATTTGGGGGGGAGGGGAGTCCCGCTGATTTTGATCGACGGCGCCGAGTGTTGGGGGGGGGCACCCTCCGGCTCGAAACGCGCCGCCGAATGTTCCCCAGGCAAGCGCCCGTGAAACGCGTTCTCTCAGATTTCAATCAGCTGGAAGTCGTGCTCTCGGTGGGACCATGCCTGGTTAAAAAATGTTGGTTGGGAGGGTCAGGGAGGAGGGGGAGGGGGGAGGTGGGCTACGAGGAAGAGGGGCGGGAGGAGAAGGGAGATCGGGCAAAGCAGATGCGCTCAGACCACATATGATATCCTACCGCTCCCACCCATCCCTTTTTTCCGCTGCGGTTTGTTATTTCTCTACCCGCGGGCGGGTGTCGTAGCGGACCTGGGCCCCCCAAAGGACCCCATTGCCTGTCATGCGCAAGCACCCAAGGGAATTGCGTACATTGGAGGAGGAGGTGGTGGCGGATGAGCGGGAGCATGGACAGGATGATGAGGAGGAGGAGGAAGGAGGAAGGAGGAAGGAGGAAGGAGGAAGGAGGAAGATGAGGAAGGACAACCAGCAGGAGCAGGAGTGGGAGAAGCGGGAGGAGCAGGATGACCAGGGGAAGGCGGGGGAGAGGAAAGGAGCGGGCCGACAACGATGAGGAAACATTGGGATCCAGAGAAGTGGCCCTCGCTAAGGCGAGAGCGCCATTCTGAACTATGGGGGCAAAGCGCGGATCCTGAAATGAGGCAGACGCTGCAGCGGGAACACCATTCTGATACAAGAACAACGACCGTAGGAAAGACCAACCAATAACATCTCCTGTGTACAAAAAACAATACGTTGAGAGAGCGGGACAACTTCCGCACAGAGTCAGGGAGAGTAGTATGCATATTGCGCAATTGTGGAAGAAGTGGAGAAGAAGACGGGAGCAGAACGAGGGCAGGGATGGCGAGGGATAGGGGGGAGTAGGAGATGGGGAGGCGGCAGGAGGAGGCGACGGAGGTGGAGGGAGGGAGAGGGAGAGGGAGGTCGGTTGGTTGGTCCCCTGGGGAGGGTGGTGCTGTCAGATCTTCGGGTGCGTAGTCCTATGTGGTCGCCACACGTTTTGGGGGGCGCCCCGCCACTGGGGGTCCCAATTGTCCTGGCGCGGAGCTGGCGCGGAGGAGGAGGCGCAGGAGGGGGCAGGGGAGAAGGGGGAGGCGGAGGAGGAGGAGGCGGCGGAGGCGGAGGAGAGGCATCCCCTCGCTTTCTGCACTGTCGTTATTTCGTTGCACGCGGATGTCTCGGTCTTGCCGGTGGCATCTCGGGCGAGCTCTGGTTGTGCACCAGGGAGGGAAGAGAACAGAGCGGAATGAGGTCACGCGGACCGCGAAGCATGCGCCTCTGATCCGTGCGGCGGGCGGTGAGGCCCAGACTGTTGTCCTGGGCTACGAGTGCTCGGCCTCCCTCAGCACTGACGCGTCGGGTGCGCAGCTTTCATGTTCTCTTCAACTGATTTTCTTGAAGCGCTCAGTGCGCGTGGTACCACGGCTCTTTCTTGCTATGTGACTCACGGGCCACTGCGCCTGCGAACATGAAAAACAACGTTTTCCGCCGCTGCTGGAAAGGGTGGGGGAGGGGTTCACCCCCCCACGCAAAAAAACAGGGGGGGAGGGGGCAGTCCGGACAGGCCCCCCGCCAGGAAAATGATTCGAGGGGGTCCAGTTCGGGGCGGTCCCCAAATCCTTCCCCCCTCCCAAGAAAATTCTTTGATGGGTCCAGAATTTCCCCCCCCTTGGCCACGACGACGACGTCGCCGCCGCCGCCAGCAAACGACGCCGACGACGAAGACGACGCTCGACGGACGACGCACGACGACGCCGACGACACCGACGCCGACGCCGACGCCGACGCCGCCGCCGACGACGACGACGTCAACGACTACTACGCCGCCGACGACAACGACAACAACGGCAACGATGACGACGAACACGACGACGACGAGGAGGACGCCTACGACGACGCCGGCGACGACCATCGAGTCCTAGTGGGATGCGATTAATGTTAGATCGAACCCAAATAGGATCCTAGTAATGCTGGGTCGAACCCTAAAAAGATTCTGAAAGAGCTGGACCAAAGCCGATCAGGATTCTGTTCAAAATGGATTGAGCCCTCGTGGGGTTCTATTGGAGCTGGATCTAACTCTATAGAAAGTTATGCATTGATGCTGGATCGAGCTTTAGAAAACTCCATCTGACCTGGATCCAGCCCTGATTTTCCCCAAACAGTGCTTGCACTTCGGGATTCTTATTTCTGGAATAAGGAGTTGTGCTGGTGTGCCGCTCTTGCGGCTATGCAGTCGCCGTCGCCGCCCCGTCGCCGCCTCGTCGCCGCCCGTCGTCGGGGCTGGTGTGCCGCTGTGGCCGCCTCGTCGTTGCCTGTCGTCTGGGCTGGTGTGCCGCTGCGGCGGCTATGTAGTCGCCGTCGCCGCCACGTCGCCGCCCGTCGCATGGGCCGGTGTGCCGCTCTGGCGGCTATATTGCCGCCATCGCCGCGTCGCCGCCGCGTCGCTGCCTTCGGCTGCACAGCATAGATGTCTCTTTTCTAAAGAGTATTCGGATCTACCCCCCCTGGCCCTAACGGGTCACCTTTTCGTGTTGCAATTTACATACGATGTTGCCCCATCGTTCATCCTAAATACAAGCCCATACCATTTCAGCCAAACCTGAAACGGTTCCCCCTTTATTCGCTGGAGAAAAATATGCGGGCACCTTCGTTTATCAACAATCATCAGTTTTTGAGAAGCCTTGGCAAAAAAAACGGGACGAAGTGCAGACGCGGGCGTCGTTGCGGGTGCATGCCGAAATCTTTCGAAAACTATAGGTTTCGCGGGGTTTTCAAAATCAAGTGCCCCGAAGCATTTCTTGGAAAGAAAAAGAACACGTGGTTTCGCAACAAGGGGTTTCAAGCAAAACTTGCGTTCGGGCTTTTGCGGATGTCTAACAAAAGCATCGGTTGTTCGACATGTTCACAAGTTGCTACCAAACGGGCCTCTCGCGCGCATGTCGAAATCGCTCGGACGCTCTTGCGCGCGCGCTTTCGCAATAATCTCTGTCAAATAAAAGACGAAGGGCACACGCGCGGGTTGTCGCGCGCGCACGACGACATCCGTCAAGCAGTACGTTTCGTACGTATTTCAAAAGCGAGTGCCCCGAAAACATATGAGAGACATATGGTTTTTCAACATCAGTTTTCAAGAATGCTTGCGCTCGCGCTCCTGCGAATTCTTAAGAAAACCATCGTTTTTTTCTACATGTTCATTACATTCGGCCCAACGGCCCGTCGCGCCGCATGTCGAAATCGTTCGAACGCCCCTGCGCGCGTGCTGGGGGCGCACGGTCCGTGCCAAATAATACCATGCGGGCCACTCTCGCGCGTCGGCCGCGCGCGAATTACGAAGTCCGTCCAAAGCCTCCATCACCGATGCGAGGGCGCCGTCATCGTCGCCGGCGTGATCAGCACCGGCGCCGTCAATGGCCGTGCCGTCGTCGTTGTCATCATCGTCGCAAGCATCGTTACCATCATCATCGCGTCTACCGTTGTCGACGTTGCCATGCTACCGCGCCCGCCCAAGTCGCCGACTCGCAGTGAAGTGCCCGCTGGGAAATTCCCAGCTGTCAGCGCCACCGCGCCGGCGTCGGCAGCGCCAAACTATCCGGCCGCTGCGCGCGCGCGCACGCGCGGGCTAGCGCGGCCGCAGAGACGCGCCGGCCAACGCCAAGCACTCATTGCAATCGGGGCCGCATGGGTTTCGCAAGCGAAATCGCGGGCGGGTGGGCGGGCGGGGCGATTGCGCGAGCAGTTTAGTTGGCAACAATTCAGTGCGAACAAACATTAATTCTCGATTCTCAAAGAAAGCATTCGGATCTACCCCTCCCCCCTCCGCCCTCGGGGTTAACGGGGCACCTTCGTCGCGTTGCAGTTTACATCTGATTCTGCCCCATCGTCCATCCTAAGCATGAACTCGCGCCATCCGGGCCAACGGAGTTCCCCCCCTCATTTGTTTTGTCTACGCACGCGCAGTCGTTAATCAAAAGTTATCAGTGCTCAAAAATGCCTGGCCAAAAACCGGACGAAGTGCACGCGCGCGTCGTCGCGCGCGCACGCCGAAGTCTTTCAAGACTTCTCGGCTTCATAAGGAGGTAGAAATCGAATTCTCCGAAAGCAGGAGAAAAACACATATGGTTTCGCAACTGGGGCTTGTTGTCAGAAAGCCTGCACCCGCGCTCTTGCGGATTCTTAAGAAAACCAGCAGTTGTTTTTGGTTTTTTATCCAACTTGTCCATAACTTGCCACCAAACGGGCCTCTCGCGTGCGCATGTCGAGCTCACTCGAACGCCCTTGCGCGCGCGCTGTCACAAGGGCCCCTTGCAACAGATGGGGCGACGCCCGCGCGCGCGTCGTCGCGCGCACATGCCGGAATCCGTCATTAACTATAGGCTTCGCAAGGAATTTAAAAACGAACGCCCCGCAAACATATACGAGACACATGGCTTTGCAACGACAGTTCTCAAAAATGCTTGCGCTCGCGGTTGTGCGGATCCTTAAGAACATCATAGGGTTTCGACATGTTCGCCAAAGTGTTCCAAACGGGCCTCGCGCGGCGCATGTCGAACTCATTCGAACGCCTTTGCGCGCGCGTTGGGGGGAGAGGGGGCGCGATCCGCGTCAAATAATTCCACGCGGGCCACTCTCGCGCGTCGGCCGCGCGCGCGCGTCGAACTCCTTCAAGAACCGCCATCGCCGACGCGATGACATCGTCATTGTAACCGGCGGGCGCGATCAACATCGGCGCCGTCATTGGCCTTGCTGTCGTCGTCGTCGCCACCGTCGCCCCGTCATCGCTACTCGGCGTCGCCATGATACCGCGTCCGCCCACGTCGCCGACTCGCAGTGAAGTGCCCGCCGGGAAGCGCCCGGCGGTCAGCGCCACCGCCGCCGCGTCGGTCACGCCACACTAGCTGGCCGCTGCGCGCGCGAGCGTGCGCGGGCTAGCGCGGCCGCAGAGATGCACAAGTAAATGCCGAGCATCCATCGAAATCGACGCCGCATGGGTTTGCAAACCAAGTTGCGAGAGGTGGGTGGGGTGTTTGCAAAGGCGTGGAATACGTCAGCTCGTTTGTAGAAAGAAATTGCACTGCGTAGAGTGCACCACACAGTGCGCGCCAATTAGATTAAACCAAATAGGTTGCACCACGTTGCTTGAAACATGGTTCTCGTTTTAAAAAGAAAAATAGACTCTACCCCCCCACCCCACCCCGGGATTATCGGGGTCCCTTTTCGAATTCCAATTTACGTTCCATTCTGCCCCAGCGCCCATCCTAGACGTGAGTTCGCGCCATGCCAGCCATGCCGGCATCGCCCCCCCGTCATCCTCTGCAACAAGTACAACGCGCGCGCTCGTTTATCACATATCATCCGTTTTCAAGAATCCCGTGCAAAACATTACACGAAGTGCACGCGCGCGCGTCGTCGCGCGTGCGCGCCGAAATCCGTCCAAAATGTTTTCGCTTTCGTCCGGATGTCAAAATCGAGTGTCCAATCAACACATAAAAACACATGGTTTCGCATCGCATATTTTCAAACAGAACTTCCGCGCTTTTGCGAATTCGCAAGGAAGCCATCGGTTCTTCAACACGCTCATAAAATGCTACCAAGCGGGCGTCGCGCGCGCATATCGAGACCGCTCGAACGCCCTTGCGCGCGTGCCGTCGCGGGAATCCTTTGCAACAAATGGGACGAAGTGCACGCGCGCGCGCGTCGTCGCGCGCGCGTGCCAAAATTCGTCAAAAACCATAGTTCTCGTAACGATGTCAATCCCGAGTGTCCAAAACACAAAAAAATACAAGGTTTCGCAGCATGAGTTTTCAAAAAAGCGTGCGCTCACATTCTTGCGAATTTTTGAAAACACATCGGTGTTTCAACATTATCATGGGATTCTGCCAAACGGGCTCCTCTCGCCGCATGCTGACATCACTCGCGCGCCATTGCGCGAGTGCTGGGAAGGGGGGTGGGGGCGCGATCCGCGTGAAAGAACACCATGCGGGCCACTCCCGCGCGTCGGCCACGCGTGCATGTCGTACTCTTTTAAAACCTTCATCGCCGACTCGAGGACGCCGTCATTGTCGTCGGCGTGATCAGCATTGGCGCCCCCATTGGCCGCGCCTTCGTCGTTGCCAACATCGCCACCAGCATCGCTATTTTCAGCATCGTGTCTACCATTGTCGACTTTGCCATGATACCGCGTCCGCCCAAGTCGCCGACTTGCACTGAAGTGCCCGCTGGGATGTGACCAGCGGCCAGCGTCACCGCGGCTGCGCCAGTCGCGCTATACTAGCTGGCCGCTGCGCGCGCTTGGGTTGGCGCGGCCGCAGAGATGCACCAGCCAACGCCAAACATGCATCGCAATCATCGCCGCGTGGGTTT